ATTAATATTTCAGTACAAATCAAAATAATATTTCAATACAATTAGATTACCACCACACATACCCCACCTTATCCTTGAATTTGTGATGTAGCAAGAGGTGCCCATGAATCCTGAGCCTCCTGACTCCAGCACTCACTCACACTAGTTTTATGTATCCCTGGGGATCAAACCAGGGTGTGTGCACACTAGATATGCACTCTTCACACTAATCCACATCTTCAGCATATAATGCTCCCTTTTCTTCAACTTTTGACAGTTCTCTATTTGGACTACTATCTTTTGAAAATAATATGGCTGATTAAAAATGTAAGCATAGGAGAGTATAGCAGAACGATAATTCCAGTGTAGGTGGTGCCATTCATGTCTCCTTTATAGGCAGCTCAGTGTTGGGCAGCTGTGTGATGCTGTGCATGTCACTGTTAAAGCTCAGTGGACCTTATCTGTCAAGTGATAGTACCTCATCCATCATGGTGTGAGAAATCTGTAGTGGAAATTCATTCCACCAATTAGCTTTGAGGAATAAGTCTTAGGGCATGGCTTCTGATCCCCGTATGTGATCACTTTCTTTTTTCATTAAATTTTCTATTCACTTTTACATACCAACCACAAATCCCCCTCTCCTCCCTCCTCCCATCCCCCAGCCTCCCCCCAATACATCCGCCATTCCCACCTCTTACAAGGCAAGGCCTCCCATGGGGAGTCAGCAGAGCCTGACATTCAGGTGAGGCAGGTCCAAGCCCCTCCCCCTGCACCAAGGCTGCATAAGTTGCTCCACCATAGGCACTGGGCTCCAAAAACCCGCCCATGTACCAGGGAAGGATGATCCCACTGTCAAGGGGCCCCTTAAGTAGGTCAAGCTACACACTGTCTCGCCCATGCAGAGCCGACACTTCTTCTTGGGGTGGATTCAGACAGCTGGATCGATTTGCTCCAAACAACGGCTGTTCACTTGGGTCTGTGTTTGTGACTGTATCTTCCCCGTTATTACCTTAACAAGTCCTTGTTACTCTCTTCAACCTACTCCCCTGGATTTTTCATAATAAACTCTGCACTTTTACCTTAGTGCTCTGTGTTTCACGGATGATTAATGTTGGGTGCACAGGAACACCAGGCTGGTCCTTTTCCAGTGCTTGTGTAGGGCACAGCATTAGAGGCTACTTGACTTGGACTCCATTTCCATCATTTTAATGCAGAAAATGTGTCCTATGGTATTGTAGTGGTGACTCAGTGGTTAAGAGTGCTTACTGCTTTTTCACCGTAACTCCAGCTCTGCAGAGAGCCTTTGTCCCTTCTGGAATGTGGGGAGAGGGAGTTTCCCTTGGACCTGACAACTCACACACAAAATAAAAATAAAATAATAAACCCCCAGTGCTAGGAGGGGGTTAGTAGAGTCAGGTTGGCAACACTAGGGTGCAGGGATATGCTTGTTTCAGGAGGTTTATGGCCTGTGTCAGTTTCTGGGGTTCCAGCTAATGGTTCACCCTCAGGTTCCTTCAAGGCCTTACATAGGAATTTAGCTACTATGCTAATCTGGGAAATCCAGATTCCAGAAGTTCCTCCATGACCTTGCCTTAGGCAAGCAAGATAAAACAACACCACATTCTACATAAACAAATGTAGCATAAACAGATGCAATGCACCTTTACATAAAGTAATATTCTGCAACATAAATGTAATACATCTTTATGTAGTTACAGTACTATTCCACAACACAGCCCTCCTTCCTTTCTTACAGGTATTTGAAGACAGGTGGCTAGATTTTATGAATGACCAAGTAGCCTGCCAGGCACACTGCTCAGGTTGACCATGCTGCTTACAGATCAGCAGCACTCCAGGCCATGATGATTCAGCGACCTTTTTAAAAAGTCAGCCACTGTTGTGCATGTGGTACTAACCATTTTAAAATTTTCTAGGAAGTGCAGCCATTGACCTCTAGTTCATGGAATGCTTCAGATCTCTACAGAACCCTTAAAAGATGAGGATCTGACTTCCAACAAGTTTTCAGAAAACTCACCTGGCGTAAGTTAAACATCCCTTTTACAAGCCAGTCAGGGCGGAAGGACACATTAACATAGCACTCATCACATGAGGTTCTGTCCCCACAGCAGGGTCAGCGGATCACAGAGCAAAAGCCTGAGGATGTGGACAAGGGGACACAGCATTCTCTGTGGTGCTCAGTGCTCCAGACTCCAGACACCGTCCACCAGCACTGCCTCAGCTGACCAGTGAGCTCCAGGCTCACTCCTGTGTGGCTGACCCAGACGCAATGGGGACCACTTCTACACAAGTCTTTTCCAAGTCAGGGACCTGTGGTGACTAACCTGGCCTTGTCAGCATCACACTTTCCCCGGGCTGAGAGGCTGATGCCAATGTGCTGGGCGCTAACTCATCAGAGGCTTCCTCTGGGCCACACCAGCGCTGGCTTGAAAAGTGTGGTTTGTACTGAAGAGGCCTCAGCCTTTGTAGATGACCATGATCCAGCAGGACCCACCTCCTCCCAGAGATTTTTTGCTTCAGCAACCCCTAGCCCAGTTGGTCAATTGTTTAGCTAGATTTTGTAGAAGATTTTGAATTTCTTGTCAGAAGGCAACATTCTGCACCCCTTCTTCCTCCTTTCATAGAAAAGAAAAGGATTTAGGTTGATACTTCACATCTTGGAAGAAAAAGCCTCGTTAGCGTGGAGATGTTCAAACTGTAGTTCTTTTCAGGTCTGACTTTCCAGCTCAGAATCCATGCTCCCTGGATACCTCTGGAGCCATGGAACACATCTGCTAGTTCCTTACTGAGCTACTATATAGCTGTCTTCAGTAACAGCTAGGTCTCACTCTTCTCAGGACCGTGTGCATGCATGTGCGTGCATGTGTGCGTGCGTGCGTGCGTGCATGCGTGCGTGCGTCTGTGTGTCTGTGGTGTTGACATAAGCATGCATGCGAATGTGTTTGCAAGTAAGCATGAATGTTAGCCATCAACTTTTGGTGCTGATCTTCAGGTGTAACCTACCTTTTTTTTTTTTTTTTTTCCAAAAAAGTATGCTTCATTGGTCTGGAAACTCACACCATTGGCCAGGCTGGCTGTCTCTGCTTTTCCAGAGCTGGGTCTGCAAGCATACACTACCCTGTCTGGATTTATTACTATATTATTATTATTAATAATAATAATAATATAATAGTAGGATCGTTATTATTTTATTATTATTAATGCTTGTGTTCAGGGCCTAGAGCTCAGGTCCTCATGCTTGCCTGGCAAGCACTTTATGGCCTGAGGATCTCTCAGACCTGCACTTGACTCTTTCCTGAAGTCTTGATGCACCTTCATTGTCTGTATCCGATAACCTGTCATCCACAGTTCCACTCTGTAGCTTTGCCGACATTGTGTATTCTGTATCCCAGGCAAGGCTGACAGTAAATGTTACACCTGCTGATCGGCAATCTCTAGTGAATTTGAACTGAAAATAAAGCCTCCATTTTGTTTCTGAAAATCACCCGAATTCAGTGACATTTTAAACAACACAAAATGCCAAGTAATGGACTCCCTTCACTTGGTGCTTTAGAAGTGTTTGGGGGCTGGAGAGAGGGTTCAGCAGTTAAGAGCACTGGCTGCTCTTCAAGAGGACTCACGTTCAATTCCCAGCACCCACATGGCAGCTCACGACTGTCTGCAACTCCAACTCCAGTGAATCTGGCCCCTTCACACTGACATACATGTGGCCAAAATACCGATGCACATGAATCAATCTTTAAACAAGGAGAAATGTTTGGAGTAGAGCTGCTCAGCCCTCTGCAGACCACCAACACTCTTGCATACAGAACAACCCAATAACAGTCTATGTGTGACTCCAGTGTACACTCCGACCCCACACCGGAGCACTACAGAGCCCTGGACTCATCTCCATGAGCCAAAACTGACTCTCCCCAGCGAGACCCACTGCACACCACTGGGAAGATGAATGGCTACAAAAAGCTTTAGGGACAAGCACAGGATCTAAACTTCTCACACCCGACATCTGAAACACCTATGCTCTGGTGAGAAAGTCCACTGTGGTCAGGTCTCTTGCTGTAGATACGGCAGGACGCTCACAGATGTCTGTCCTCAAGTCACTCTCTTGGGCCCATAAGCTGAATGTGAGAATCCTCCACATCACCACTGGAGGTTGACTGTTTTGAGTCACTGGTCTTTACTCCCCCAAAATGAACTAGTCCGTTAAAATCACAGACTC